CTAATGCAGGGAGAACATGCAAACTCCACACAGAAACGTCAACTGAGCCGAGGCTCGAACCAGCGACCTTCTTGCTGGGAGGCGACAGCACTACCTACTTTGCCACTGCTTTGCCAGAGTCAAATTCATTTTACTAGTCATTTCAACTTCAATTAAGTTAGGGGTAAAGTACATTCTGTTATTACAGAATAAAGGCAGACGTTTTCTTTAATACAGGTCTGTTTAAAAACTATTTTAGCCATGCAAAGCTTATGTAGACTGTGTTCTAGTTTATGAATAGGTTTATATGCATGGTAGTGTTGTTCTGCTGCTGAAAATGCCTGCAAAAGATATTTTCAAGTTCATAGAGTACCTTTTACAGCATCGATAATATAGTCGGTTAAATAGACCCAAGCATTCGTTTAGTTGTTTAAGTGAAAAGGAGCTAAAATCAAGCGATGTACGAGGATCAGCGAGCACAATTGAAAATGAAAAGTCACTCGTTGTCTTGGTAATGTAAACATAAGTATAACAGGGCTCGAAATTATCCTTTTTGCTTGGTAGCACCGGTGCTCCTAACTTTAAAAATGTAGGCACATCAGCCAAGATTTAGTCGCACCCACCAATTATAAGCGCATTTACAACAAGTTTTATACAAACAGATTTATTGCATTTGAAATCAGCTGTAAGAGCCAGTTATGCATAATTCATTTGTGATAATAATTTAGTGAAGGTTAAAACATGATAAAAATTGATATTTAAATTTAATAAGAATTCATTGTGATTGTATTATCTAAAATGCATAATTTAGTAATTGATATAATTTAAAAACCTTAAATTTGGTATTTTGGCTTCCGACAGTAATACGTCATGAGGTCATTAGTTCATACGTTTTAGGCAGATTGCAGTTATGGATGTTGGAAGCAACACAGTTTTTTGACCGAGCTGATCGAGTCTATTGTAACTTTGTATTTTTGCTTGCATTTGTTCAGTAAACCTTTTTAAAAGAAGATTCGGTCTTACTCGCGTTTTTGCAAATACTGGTTGTTGGAATTGAAGCTGCAAAGGTGGTACATAAGGATTTGCACGAAAGGTGTGCCACTATATCAGCACTAATCAAACTAACAAGCGCATATATATATATATATATATATATATATATATATATATATATATATATATATATATATATATATATATATATATATATATATATATATATAGATATATATATATATATATATGCAAGCTCCCTCATATGTCTCAACAAAATGCCATTATCCCAAGAAAATAGATTTTTATAACAGAACTGAGTGACCAAAAGATACACGGAGCGCTCACCGGCCCTACACGCACTGCTTGAATGAATATGTTAACGATATAACTGTGCTGTTCTCACAAGTGCTGTCGGATATTGCACTGATGCTTTTGACATATACTGTACCCTATTATATGCACACATGTTAACAGCAATATCGTTTTTTTCATGAGTAGCGATATTAGTTTACTCAGTGTAAGCCTGTTTGCGATGGTGTACGTGGTATTAAATTTGACATATAGCTGCCACTTGCATGCAGGACAGCATCTGACGATTATATGAAGGATTAAACAGAAGCTCTCGTGCTAGATGTGGCAAACAGTTACCTGAAAATTCCGTCCCACAGACTTTTCATAGTGGACTTGAAGCCAATGGAAGTCTTCTACTCTTGAAAAAGTGTAGATGATGGATTAACATTCAGCACATGGTCACTAGTAAGATGTGTCATTATTTGTAACTTTAGATGCCATGGTTTCTAAAACAAATTCTGTCAGTGTTATCTTCATTCTCATCTTCAGCGCTTTACAGTTTTTCACGGTAGTAACGCTCTCTCTGTCATCCCAAGCCAGAAGGCACTGGCTGAGTGATTGACAGCTGATATTAACCAATCATTCGAGTTCAGTGCTAGAGCAGTGGTGGGCCAATAGGAAGAGCGCGAAGGCGGGGCAAGCATTACGGACGTAGCTTTGTTTACTGCAGCAAGTTGACATGACAACTGTTTTAAACCATTCCTGAGCGCTGCGTTTTGCGTTTCATGTGCAGACAAACAGCTTAGAGATGCATTCTGCGTGAATGTCACCCGAATCCGCGCATGTGGTGAACATTTTGCCGCAAAAACTGGTCGCACACATGTTCCCAAA